TAAAAATTAAAGAAATAATTTTGGGGGGGGGACAAAAGAAGGGTAAAAAGAAATCAGATAGTTCAGAGAACCGAAAAGGTGAAAATTGACACATTTGGGGTTCTTTATTGGGGAAACGTTTGCCACACAGGGTTTCATCAGCCCATACAAATGAAATTGTAAAACAGAAGGAGATTGAGGCAATGAGCCAATCTTTTTCGATAGATTGATTACATCGACTACAGGCGGGGGACAATTACCTCAATCTTCTTCTGATTTCAGATTCTCCTTTGTACGGACGATGACGCACTTAGGCGAAACGTTTCCTCGTAAAGATAACCAAGTGCTGCACATGCGTCAATTTATTAAGGTTTTGTGTCTATGTAACCCCCTACATTCCGGCTGGCACAACAGACTTGCGTGTTCAATCCCTTGTTCACCCTTTGAGGGGAGGGGTAAAGTAAATGAATTTAACGTATAAGCAAATTAAAGCAGGCGAGCACGTTTGGCAGTAGTGTAACACCTGTTGATAATTTGGGAAGTGTTTAAGGCTCGAACACATTTATTAGGTCAAATATCCGCTTGTAACATCTCAGCGTTTTCCACCACTTTATCTGCTTCATTCTCCTTTTTTTTGAATTGCTTTTTTTTTCTTTCCCCCTTTACTGCCTCGGTGCTTTATAATGGTCCAGACTGACCGAAACGAAACTCTCTAAAGAGTGTTTGTTGAAATTGTTGCACCCCGTTATTGTCTCTTGTTATCCCTCCCCAGTCTTCTCACTACCCCCCAACTTTCCCACTACCCCCTCACAGTCTCCACATACCCCCCCCGTCTCACACACCCTCCCACAGTCTTTCCCCATACCCTCCCACAGCTTCCTCACTACCCTCCCCCAGTCTTCCCCCACTACCCTCTCCAGTCTTCCACACTACCCTCCCACAGTTTTCCTCACTACCCTCCCCCAAATCTTCCTCACTACCCTCCCACATCTTCCTCACTACCCCCCCACAAAAAAATTCCCACCCCCCTCCCACAGTCTTCCAACCACCCTCCCAAGTCTTCCCACTACCCTCCCACAGTCTTCCTCACCACCC